TTCCTTCCTTCCTTCCTTCCTTCCTTCATTCATTCAGAAGCCTTGTCTATTGTCCTGAAATCCTGCGATATCAAGGCTCTAAGCTGATATTGGGCTACGATATCATGGTTACCTGGCCGAATGTTGATAATCTGCTACTTGTCTATGAAAAACTTGGTGCATTTAAGCCTGGTATCTTTATTTTGTAAACCAAATCTTTTGTTACTCTTTTTTGTTCAATTCGTCTTGTAGCGGCCAATGTTCCAGATCCTATCGCCCACTATCCCTTGAACAGCAGGTACGCAACACGGGAAATAAAGAATCGACAACCCCAGGGTATCCCTAAGGGTGTTCACCTGGAAGCTGGCCCGGATGGCAAAACCGGTGGCTCGTATCAGTTTGAAGGAAAAGCCGACAGTTACATTGAGTTCCCAAACAACGGAGGGCTAGACGCAAAGTATTCCATGACAATGCTATGTTGGGTGTATCCTCAAAATTTAGAAGGACCAATCTTCAATTACAAAACAAGTGGTCAATGGGGTGTTCATATGTGGATGGTTGCGGGTAAGCTGTTCGGCCGTTTTAACCACAGGAATTACGCTTTCACCCCCCATCTCCTTAGTAGTCAGCTTCTACCGCTAAACCAGTGGTATTATGTTGGTGCGTCCTACGATCATAATAGTGGTATTGCAAGGCTCTGGTTAAACGGCCTGCAAGTCCTGCAGCTGAATATTGGAGCCAAAATAACCCTTGGTTCTCAAGACAGCGTCAGAATGGGTGCAAAAGGAGGCGATCATCGGTATTTTAAAGGTCGAGTTAGCGACATGAGGATTTATGATGTCGCTTTGACCATGGAGCAAATAAATGCATTGAAACAAGCCGATCAAGGTAATTTTAACTTTATAGATCAGCTTTGCATTGCTCTTTAATCAGGAGCCCATCACTAGGAGCGTCCAACTACCCCGTATTCCTGTCAAGGCGTTTTCACAGACCAATCTATTTTTAGTTGGAATTTACCGCGAATTCAGACCCCCGCAGGAACCTCACTGACCAATCACAAGCACGGACTTAATTTTTAACCGGAAGATTAAAAAAGAAAAGCCACATTTTCTCCCTTACCGATGCGCGCTCATATAGACCGGAGCTGACTTATTTCACGAGAAAAGAAGCCAAAAATAGACCGGTATGTAAAAATGCCGTGATATAGGCTTAGTATGGGAGTTGGACACTCCTAGTGATGGGCTCTTGCTTAATCTATTGATTTTTTGAAAAGAACGGAACGTGTGAGAATTGGCCGAATTTTCAATGGCATTTTCAAGGCTGCCAGATCTTTAATCAGCGATCATTGTGATTTTTTTATTTCTGTAAAAAAAAAAAAAAAAAAAAACAAATTTAAATAATTTTATGTTCCGGCACTAGTGGATCTGTTTTTTTAGTTATAGTCGAACATTTTGCATTGCTGAACATTTTACATTGTGTTTTTCTGAAAAAATTGAAGATAAATATTTAACAGAATTTTTCGGATAAGGTAAGGCTTAATTGAGTTTTATTAGGTAGAAAAACATTAACAAATGGTACGCGTGATTAGTATAGGTAATTGCATAAATGTGAGTGCAATTAAAGATTTACAGTACGAGTGATTTTTGAAAATTTTCTCAAAATTACACAAGCCTTTAGGAGAGTGCAAGTTGAAATGATTTTCAGATAACACGAATGGTATAACTCCTTAATTGCTCGAGCCTTCACACGATTACTCATTTATTATATTACTGGGAAATCACGAAAACGCGTGTTAATTTTCACTGATGTGCAAATTAAGAATTAACGATAACTTTATCCTCGGCTCTCAGCCAATCACAGTGAAGTAATGTTCGCAGTAATATGTTAAAATCTGTAAAAAAAAAAAAAATGTGGAAAACAAGAGAAATCAAGCAGAAAGGGCAAGCATGAGTAAACATTTACAATAGCTGCAGAAACTCTAGCGCACTCATTGGTCAAGCATTTCCAGTGTACTGTCACATGGCTAAAGGAGGTTAGATGAGAAATGTTTTCCTACTTTAAAATTTATTCAAAAATGTTTTTTCCTTCTTTTCTCACAGCATTATTCATTTGTTTTTGTATCAACCAGGCTGGACCATGGTGTTTAAGGCGGTATCTGGAGCCAATCAAGTTGCGTTTGAAGCTTACAAGTCGGATGAAACATACGCCGAGAACGAAACGGCCGCTCTTGACGTCACTAACAAGTATCTCAAAGACTACAAGAACAGGATTGTTTTGAACTGGGGTCAATTCGGTGCGTCTGAGGTAAGCAAACCCTAAACTAACGCATTGCTAAAGAACTTAGGGAGGCGATGTTAAGGACTGCGGCAGAAGCTAGATTAATATTTAACTAAGTTTAAAGCTCAGGGAAGTTATGGGGCCGTATGATATTTTTTGCGAGTACTTCATGCTTTAGAGTGGTTTTCAATTCGTAATGGGTTTGGATTTGAATTGCTATCGTGACGTGATTGGCTTAGGAAACTCGCGCCACTTTTTCATCCAATGAGAAAAACCAATCATCCTGACGTTCGCACACGTTTCCCGCGCTTTTCGTGTACATGTACCGTATTTGCTTTGAGATTTGATTGGTTCAATGGGTTGTCCCCTTGTGACTGGCTAGAGTGATTACTTTGGTTTTAGTTTGAAGACACTCAGTTTAATAGCGCTCTGCAGCAGGGACTCTTTTCAAAAAGATGTGTGACATGGTATCCTTTATTATTTCATCAGGCAAGAGTTGTTCTATATAAGGGTTATGATCCAGTTAAACAACTGAAATTCAACGTCCAGGGATCAGACAATACGAACTGGTTTCAGTTTGAGAGACTGACTGAAAATCCATGGACTGACATGGCAACCGCGCCACGTAACCTCTTCACCATTGAAGATACCCCTTGGAAACGCAGCTTCATCATCAACAGCGTATATCCTGGCTGCGGTGGCGATGTTGGCTGGATGGTGATCACTGGATGGCCCTGTGCCTGGGAGAAACACTTCGGTCAAAACGCTGTCATATACAGCAAGCTGACCGGACGCGCCAACTGGAATCATTACAGTAAGTAAAGCAACATCGAGGAAAAACGTCCACACTGTTCAACAACCAAGTGGTAAAAGTATTGGCGAGCGTGAAAAATTTAAAAGTATAGCTCAGACTATAGCTCACGTGGCAATCCACGTGATTTTTTCCTTACTTATCAATAGGTCAGTGCTCACTTCCGGCTTCGATTGCCATGCGATTTGAAGAGTAATGTGAAAAAATAGTTTTGAAAAAGTTACCAAAAACTGGAAGGCCCTCATGCATGGGTAAATAGTATTTTAAGCTCTCATCTAAAAGAAAAATTGTTTTTTCTAATTTTAAAACCCCTACTGTACAGCTTGTTTTCGTGATATCGATTTTCGACACAATTGTTAACCGAACTGGTTAACGTTGTTTTATGTTTTGTTATGTTAAGATAATTTCATTTTGAAGCTAATTTTATAACCCAGCGTCAACCTTTTCAGTACGCAGAATTCTTCGGATAATAAGCTCCGGAAAATTATCAACTTGCCTATGCACATTTGGTGTATAGACCTTAAGCTCTGGTTTAAGAGAAATAACTGTGTTTGTCACTGGCACTTCTGCCAAGAGTCCTACTAGCGTTTAACGGTTTAACAATACATGTTTCTATTGAGTTATCAACGGTTCTTTCTTAATTGGCGAGTTTGTATCGATCTCAAGACCCTTCTCCCAAGTCCAAGGGCCAAAAGAAAAAAAAAAAAAAAGAAAATTGAACCGATCAAACTTCTTGCAGGTGGCATAATTCATCTGGGATATTTGTTTCATGGGCCACAGTACAGCTACTGAAAAGATCAGTAATTGTAATTACCTAGTAAAGTGGATCGTTTGCACCGTGATGGGCTCATAATATGGCAATTTGTTTTGCATTGCAGACAATATAGGCAAGGCAGACACCATGGTTATTTTCTTGCGTTAAGGTAATAACTAACATGTATTTTTGTATAAAAGTTATCGCGATTCTTATTGATGAAGAATCACAAAAAACATGTTCGACTGAACTGAGATCAAAACGTATTTAGGATCAGGAAACAGAATGGAGGAGGTTTAGAATCGAAGGCCGGGGGGAGGAGGTAATGGTATAGTTTATTGTTCCATGGGACACTTTTACTAATGTTAGAGTAATGTTTCATTTGTATCAGATTTAATACTAAGAGATGTTCTTGACTAATAGCAGAATCGGAAAAAAATTGTTACCAGATCAACTGATTGGTAATGATGAAATCTCTGGGCCAAATCATGTCCTCAACACAGTAACTGGGGAAACTAATTTATCACACGAAGTTATTTCCTTCTTTTTTTAATTCCAGTACAGAACCACAGCTCACGTGCACAACTTACCAGTGACCGGAGCATACAAAGGAACCTGATGAGGCAGTAGATTTAATTTGCTTGCTGTAGTGGCAGGGTTGTTAGATTTGGGGTTCGGTATTGCTTATAGACCAAGATAAGGAAAGGACAGAGGTCCGTTTTCTTCGCTTACGCTTGATAGTTATGTTCTGCAGTGACGAAAATAAAATAAAGGGAAAAATGTGGTGAAATTCGTCAGATATGCTTAATTTTTAACATTTTAGTGATCTAACCAGCAGTAGTCCTTCATTAACACATACAGTTACAATTTGCCTCTTACCTCGTTGGCCTACTTCAGGCAATTTCATGGTTTAAAGATTCAAACATGCCACTAGCATCCAAAAATTCCATTAGTGGGACAAAGCCGGTTTTCCATTGCACGTTACTTTGCCTTGAAGAGGTTATCCACGTGACCCATCGAATCCGGGATGATACGATACGAAAATGTCACGGCGGGCAATTGCAATTCGTAAGGGTCCCTATAAGTTTCGATTTTCTTATAATATCGTCGTTTGGTGCCCTCCCAGTAACATTCATGTTTGGTGGCGCTCCGAGTGAACTGAACGAACCTGGTTTCTTAGAAATCACTGATCATAGCCAAAGTAACTAAATTTGCTTCCTTTGACTTTTTCACTTCTTACCTTTATGCCCCGGGGGGGGGGGGGTACTCCCTTATATGGGCTATATAGGTATGTGTGGCCCCAAAGGGTATGGTTTTTCAGCTGTTTTGGTCATAAATAGGGCCGGTACCAATTTTAGCTGATTTTGGCCATTTTGGTCATAAATAGGGTATGGTTTTTGCTCTCCAGCCTTGATGTGGGTAAGAAGCCACTTTTTCATCATCATCGAAACAAAATCACAAATTATGTTTACGGTAATTTAACATTGGTCTGAACTAGGGAACTAATTATAACGCATGTCTGAAACAGGGTTTTGATTTAAGGGTCAGGTCATAAACAGGGTTTCCAATTTTTGGTCAGGTCATAAATAGGGTAGGGAATATCGCAGATTTTGGTCATAAATAGGGTAAGGGTTTTGTGAAGCGGGCCGCACACCCCCACCCAATTTTTCTGGGAGTACCCCCCCGGGCCTTTATGAATCCTTCAAATCGAAGAAGTACTAGGTGTGAATGTTATTTAAGACCACAAAAGTTTAAATGACCCTAGACAAGAGATAATATATTGACCTAGAAACATGCATCACCCAGGCTAACTTGAAGGTGATCTTGCTGATATTTTGAGATGTGCGCACAGAAGGCCCATCCCGATCGAGTTTGCATAATTTCTAAACTTTGGATTTGTTTTCTAACCGACCAAAGTAACTTAATAGGGGACTAATTGGCCGATGTCACAGATTCTATAACAGCTTGACAATTCCTCTGAAATGTAAACTCTTGTTCTTAGGCCATCGTAGTTTGATTAAAAATATAGCACAAACAGCGGTGAATAACAATGAGCTCCAACGCACTTTTATAGTGAGCTTGAGGTTTCGTATGCTAGTCAGCATGCATTTTAAAAGTGTTCGTTACAATTTTTTGAAAAAAAACTATTTACATGGTAGTTATTAGAGGTCTCGAGCTTAGACTGAGAAAAAAATTTACAGCAGTAATTAGCATTAACCTGTCTATACGTCTTGAGAAGTAACAGCTAGTAACGCAACAACTTCTCACTGCTGACTTTGACAGTTAGAGAAGGCTTTAGCTTTTGAAGGAAGAGTCTCTTTAATTTGCAATGAAAGGCAGTTTTGGGTGACGCTAAAATGTCAAAATGATCCGTTGTCACGTTGTGACAAGTGTTTTTCACATGGTCAGACCACTTTTTGTTTACAGGTAGATTGGCCCAAAAGAAGGATGGGATAGGGGTGGGGGGTTATAAACCGAGAAGCTTATAACCGAAATTTTACGGTATATTTGAGAATGATTCTCAGAATATATCTCAAGAGGAGTAAGATGAAACAATTTATTAAAAACTAATAATGCAAAAAATACTTTACTTTCAACATGGTGACTAAACTAAAACCATGAGGTCTACATCAGCGAGTCATTTTCACTTGGTGATAGTTATGCTGTAGATATGCAAGACGTACAAAATCGATATAAAGCAAAGTTAGCACGAACTAAAATCAACAATAGCCCACGCCACTGTAGTCGAGACAGCTAGTTTAGTTTCTAAAAAGTCATTTTAAAAAATATTACTTAAAGAAATGCCCGTTTCAAATAATGTATAGATTTCGCCAAACCTAAGAGCGGAACTCCTGGGCCGGGTTGCTAACCCAGGATATGGATAAGCGAGAATTTTGATTTGACTTTTGTAACTTTGCGGTGAGGTTTTCTGTATATTGTTTGGCCCTCTGTTTTGAGTTTGAATAAGGCTCAAACTAGACAAAACAAAAGTAGTGAAAAACCTTTGTAAACAAGAAAAAGTTAACTTTTAGTCCTTGGTTAGCTTTAGCCGGCTTACAAACAACTATTTACATCAAATTAACATGACATGAGCAGGCGTTCCAACCGAACACCAACACTTGGTCAGCGGTCAACTTAAAAAACACTTAACCTCGATAAGCTCTAAACTTGAACCCCCGATATGGTCACATGATACTGGTCAGCGGATACCTTGTTTTGACAGGTGTCAATTGACCGTAACATGGATGTCCATGCAACATCAAAGAAGTACGCTGTAAACGAAGGCTACATGTCTCTGTCAACCTTTTAGCTGGAGTATGGCCGCCATCTTGCGCGACTCCGCTGTGGTCGTCGTGCGTATGCGCCTACGAGCAACACCGCTAGTCATGATAACCGTGGGAAAATCAATGCATGGGTTTCCTTTACTTTCCTATATGGGTATGGTGCTCCAGAGCTCCGCTATTAATAGATGACCATCGATGGTCTCCATCTCGTCATACTTAAATTAGCATTCTTTTGGGAGGGGTGTTGGGTAGGTAAAGGGCGAGTAAATTAGTAAAGCAGGGAACAAGTTCGGAAAATCTGTGGAAACAAAGGAACATTTCAGTTTTTCTGTCATGGAGTCTTCATTTTTTGCCACCGTAAAATTCACTACAGTCCCAGCAACCGGCTTTGTAGATTAGTTTGGACATCTGAGAGCGGCTCAGGCGATCTTTGTACGAAAGAGAGATTTGATGCGGTGTGTGTTCTGGAACTGAGGAAATGATCTTGAGGTTGACTAAAGAGTAGAAGTTGTATGTACAGGATTTCACACGTTTCGTGATATGGTTGCTCTGAAGACCTAAGTACACGGGAACTGAAAGAACAGGGTTTTTTGGCTTGTTTTTACCTCTGCTAAAAACATCGTTAACGTTGAGCTGAGTGGAACAATTTGCAGCAGAAGCTTTCTCAGATCTTTTACGTGGCTCAAAACAGTTTTCAGTGCTTTCCAAGACTTAGGTTTAGATGGGTCATTCTAACCAAAAAAAATCAGTTGTTGCTACAGTCTTGGTATTAAAAACTTGCCCAGCTTACCATAGCAACAGTATGACGTGCTAAAAACACCCTGCATTACAGCTTTAAGGGCTTATGATTCAACAGCGGCACGGTGAAATTTTTTTCTATGCCATTAAATTGTAATAAGCATGACAAGACGTAACTTTTGGCAAAGTTTAAAAAATCTCTCCGTAGGGTTCAGAGCCACCTTAAAGTTGTGAAAATTTAATGTGACTGCTGCGGCTAAGATGGCGAGGAGCAAATTCAGAAGCAACGAAAGGTGAGCGTGGGGATGAGATTCTTTTGTACTTGGAAGGTGTGGATAAATCCCACTTAGTGTAGAGGCCTGTGAATGTCTTAATCCGGTAGACAGATGTCAAGAAAGAGTTGTCGGGGCAGCTTAGAGAAGGATATCTAAAAACGGAATCTTGTTTAGATACTGTAAAAACTCATAGTAGCAATGCCTTTGCTGTCAAACCCGGGTGTCAAATTAAACATGGTGAATGACTGTGTCCTCGCTATAACTGCATCGAGGTGAAGGACAGAATTTGCCGTTCATTAACCATTTTTGCTCAAAGTGGCAAATGAAAATGTTAGCCAAAACTGGGCCTTAAGGTGACATGGCTACGCCATCAGTCTGGTCGTAGTATTGGCCATCAAATGTAAAATGGCTCTACTTGGTGGCAAACTCTGATAGATTCTGCAAAACATATCGGGGAGGATCATTCAGGGAGAGAATACAACTTGTCGAGACAAATATGCATTGTTTCATCAAGTGGCACATTTGTAAATAGAGAAGTGACATTTAAGAAGCACACTATTCCGTTGTTATGTTTGGATGTTTTGGAGCAATCTGTAAAACTAAAAGAATCTTGACTGTGTGTTGGTTGGCTGAAGTATGTCAACTAGGTAACATGGAAGATTGTAGTTATTGTAAGTGTTAACGGAGAACGGTTAATTGTTGAAATCTTAGATGGACCACTAAAATGTTAAAAGGCAGATGGGACGTAGTTCACCAGATTTTCCCCAATACTTTAATTTCATTACTGCAGAACATAACTATCATGCGTAAGTGAAGAGAGCGGATCTCTATCCCTTCCTTATCTTGGTTTATAAACAATACCAAATCCCAAATCTAACAACCGGCGAAATCAAATCTACTGCCCCATCAGCTTCCTTTGCTCCGGTCACTCGTCAGGTGTGTAGGTGAGCTGTGGTTCTGTTTCTGAAATCAAAAAAAAAAGAAGGAAATTACTTCATGTGATAAAATAGTTTCACCAGTTACTGTGTTGAGGACATGATTTGGCCCAGAGATTTCATCAGTTGATCTCCTACCAATTTTTTCCGCTTCTTTTATTAGTCAAGAACATATTGTAGTATTGAGTCTACTGCATATGAAACAACACTCTAGCCTTAAGCAATACAAAGAACGATAAAATACACCACTACTCCCTCTGCCGGCCTGCGATTCTCAACCTCCTCCATTCTGTTTTCTGATCCGAAATATGTTTTGATATCAATTCAGTGGAGTATATTTTTGTGATTCTTTGTCAGTTAGAATCGTTCTAACTTTGGCTTTCCTTTCAGCGAATTTTTCCAAAAAAACATGTTGTTACCTTAACGCAAGAAAATAACCATGGTATCTGCCTTGTCTACGTTGCCTGCAATGAAAAACGGAATACTATTTTATGGTCAAAGCACGGTGCAAACGATGCACTTTAGCGGGAAATCACAATTACTGATGTCTTTAATAGTTTGTTATGGCCCATGAAACAAATATTCCAGATGAATTATCCCGCTAGGAAGAAGGTTGACCAGTTCAGTTCCGTTTTCTCTTTTGTTGCAGTTGGGAGAAGGGTCTTGAGATCGATACAAACTCACCAATTAAGAAAGAATCGTTGATAAATCAAGGGAAACATGTATCGTTAAACCGTTAAACGCGAGTGGGATACTATTTGCATGCCCATTAGCTTGTGTTTGGCAGCACTCATTTACTCCCTGCATGAGTACCTAAAACCCTTAGTACTCAAAATATAAAGAACATCACTAGAGATGCATTAGCTTGTATTTGGGGGCACTCATTTACTCTCTGCATGAGTAACTTCTTGTTTTTGTAACTATTTTAAAATGCAGTTTTTCACCGGCCCTACTTTTCAAGTCTTACAGCAATGGAAACTGGAAGTAAAATTATAGCTTTTGCGTTTGAGCGCTGGCCTATTGACGCGTAATGAAAAATCACGTGGGTTAACACGTGAGTTATAGCCGTGTACTTTGAAATTTTTCAAACCTGCCAATCCTTTTCAGTACTATTTGGTTGTTAACGGTGTGGAGGTTTTTCCTCAGTGTTGTTTTACTTACCGTAATGATTCCAGTTGGTGCAACCGGGCACCTTACTGTATATGACACTGTGTTCACCAAAGTGTTTCTCCCAGCCACAGGGGAATCCAGTGATCAACATCCAGCCAACATCGCCAGGGCAGCCAGCATATACACTGTTGATGAAGAAGCTGCGTTTCCAAGCGGTTTCCTCGATAGTGAACAGGTTACGTGGCGCGGTTGCCATGTCAGTCCAGGGATATTCAGTCAGTCTCTCGAATTTGAACCAGTCCATGTTGTTTGATCCTTTGACGTTGAATTTCAGTTCCTTAACTGATTCGATTCCTTTATATAGGACAACTCTTGCCTGATAAAATAATACCGGATATCATGTCACACATCTTTTTAAAAAGAGTCAATCGAGTGTCGTAAAACCAAAACCAAATTAATTACTCCGACCAATCACAAGGAGCCAATTTATTGAACCAATCAAATCTCAAAGCAAACACATGAAGCTAACGAGGAGTGACCGATGGTTATCTCTGATTTTACTTTTGATCTGATCTGACCTGACACATAACAAAGTAGTGCGAGTTTTTGCAGCATAGTAAGGAAAAACCAAACTATTTTACGCACTCAAATGAAAACCGTTCTAAAACAAGCACAACAAGAAAATTAAAACTCTAGGGAACTCCAAGCTTTCCTGAACTTTAAGATAAGTTATAAATTGCTCTAGCTTCTGCCACAGCCCTCAATTTTGCATCCTATAGCTATTAAAAGTGCTTTAGCAATGCGTTAGTTTATATTTTGCTTACCTCGGAAGCACCGAATTGACCCCAGTTCAAAACAATCCTGTTCTTGTAGTCGTTGGGATACTGGTTAGTGACGTCAAGAGCGGCCATTTCGTTCTCGGCGTATGTTTCACCCGACTTGTAATTCTCATACGCAACTCCTTTGCCTCCAGATACCGCCTTAAACACCATGGTCCAGCCTGGTTGATACAAAAACAAAATAATGCGGTAGGAAAAGAAGAAAAACATTTGTTTGAAGAGAATTTAAAACAGCAAAGAGTTTTCTCATCTAACCTCCGTTTGCCATGTCACAGTACACAGGAAATGCCTCTCTCTTGTCTGTTTGAAAAAAAAGGAAAACTAAGTGATCAGTTTGTAGTAATTGGGAGAAGTAGACTTGAAAAAAAATCCTAATTAAAGCAATTAATAAAAGACTAGATTTGTTTTGTAGAGTCCCAAGTTCAGCTGATTGCTGTGCATTAAATTCTTCTGGTAGTTTACGTTCTGCGAATTTGGTAGCACATTTGGTTTGATTTTTATTACTTGCCTGCGTTGATATCAGTTACTTAAAAACGTTCACAAGCGAGTTCTGCTAGGGTTTTTCTCGGCAGATCGATCCTTTTTCAGTCTTGAAAAACATGAGCTAGTGCGCAAAGGCATGATATTAATCAGCGCTCACAAACTTACATGTCAGGGTGATCCAGTAAACACCGTCAGCTGCTTGTTTATCGTTGTCCAAGATGTGTTTACAGGAATGTCCTGGATTGTCCGAACTCGAGCCGAGAGGTGTTGCAAACTGTAGCGTCTTCCATCCACTGCCATCACACACGACCAATTTTCCGCCAGACATTTTCAGCAAGCCAGCGCTTTTGGGCTTACACTCACAAGATTTGGCTCTCGCTAAAGGACGTTCACATCTCCGCTTTTTATTGGCGATTGTGAAGCTCACCGCAGTGGTCAGGATAATGCACAATATGGCGAAATATCTCATGACTACCCGAATAACTACCGAGAAACATGGACCGGCGTGAGTTTAATGTTTAAAGGTCTGTTCGTTCTCTTAGACGAGATTAAACCTAGACCATTATATTACATGTGTTATTGACCAAAAAAAAAAAAAAAAAAAAAAACTCCTAATATTTGGACCGCAAAGGTTTTCTATTTTGCTAGTTTTTGTACGCTACTCGTGAAAGCTATTACCCCATTTTTTTATCCCATTATTTTGTTGGCTAATTCTACTGACGATTTTCGCAAGCTCGAAAACCCACTAGAAAAAGACATCAGGTTATTTAAAAAGGAAAGCGTTACTGTTACAATATAGAAGTGTGTATGGTAAATGCAAATGGAGAAGTCTTGCAGGGAAGCATGGAACTGTGGCAGCGTAGAGAACGGTGAAAGTTGGGTGGTGTAGAAATATGGAAGTGTAGCATTGCAGAATTGGTTTTTGCCTAATTATGATTCGATCAAGCGGTAAAGGTGTGAAAATTAACATGGAAGCAAACGCCTTTCGTTTGGGCCTTAAAACCTAAACGTTTCTGACCATTTTTGGCTTAAGGATACATCGAATCAGTCGATATGAAAAACTCTGACTTACCTCTTCTTTTGCTCTGAAGTCTCCGATGAAGATAAGCGGAATGAGAAGTTAACACCTTGCTGTAGGGTTTTGTACAAATTGTTTGATCGATTTATCACCCACGAACCTCACTCAAAACTGTTATGGAATATTTCTAGGATACGAGTTTGTTTTGCAAAATATGTTACCTACAGGATGTTAAGAGCTTCATACATGCCGTTTTATAAGTTTTGCGAGTGTAGTTATTGACTTTACAGGACATCACCGACCCCACTGAAACAATTAATTACTGAAGTCGGCTCCCGTCGTTAAAATGTTGTTTAATTATCGGGAACATGTTTATAGTTACTTTTTTGTCCAGCTTGTCAGCGGTCCGGAATTCTAAATTCTTGAATCCGTGTGCGTTAGCGGTCCGGATTTTCCCATCCCGACCCGCTCCGAAATTTCCAGCTTTCGCAACTTTTCAAGATTTTTGTTACGCCGGAAAACAACTTAAAATGTCAACATTTAACACAGAGTCGACAATTAGGGATTCCGAGCAAACAGCATCGCTCTTTGCGCCCGAAATGTCAAACGCGCGCGTACGCCAGATTTGAACTGAATAAAATTCAACACAAAAGTTGCTTTCAAAGCTGCAATACCGTAGGGGAAAAAAACCACGTTATTTACCGGCCTTGGTCAGTCCGTGTTGGGAAAGACTGTGCCCTCGGTCTTAGAGGACAGTTTTTCTTTTTTTTTTTTTTCGTTTTTTGTTTGTTTGTTTTGTTTGTCCCATTACGGACCTCCCAGCAGCAAATAACATGTATTCCAGAATAGCATAACGAAAGAAATAATTTTAAACTTTAGAGTGAATTGTTTCAAACAATTAGATATAAAAGGTGTCAAAGCTCAGTTTTGACTTATGTAAAAGACAAAAAAAAAAAAGAAAATGTCCTTACAACCAACTGGTCATACTCCAACCAGTGGGGATTTTTTTGAAATTGTCAGTTCTGTTTACAATACTTTCTCGATTCATAGCGTCCTCAATAAGCGCAGCAGAGCTGTGCTAGATATGACGCCGCTTAAATATTATGTGACTTATTACTTTTTTTTTTTAAATTCCGTGCTCAGTAAGCGCTTGTTTTCAACCATATTACTCTCACATTGAAAACCAATTAATTTTTTTTTTTTTACATAAACTTAACGTAATAATTAGGAGTTCCAACTGGTAAAAGACCGACACAGCTGGTTGGAACATATCTGCGTTGCATGGATGAGGAGTTGCCTTCAGCAATATTGAGGACTAATCCGGCAGGTGACAGAATAACTGCGACCTACAGATTACCAGACTTCTTCCTCAACTCTTTTTCAGATCTTTGATTTCTAAACGGACTTTTTTTCACTTTGCAAGTCGACCCAAACTGCTAAACTGAACATATAATGAATTACTCGATATGGGGGATACAGATCAGCACATGCGCTTTTTAGCAAATTATATATACTGAATTATTCTTGCTGTTGTTCGCAACTAGTGCAAACAGATGACTCTGCTGACGCCGGGCCTTTCTAGTACAAACAAAGGTTATAGTGTTCAGTGTTCCAAATATTATCTAGTGAGTGATTCTCGTGGTTTTCACTCTTTAAGTCGACTCTCTGTTCTGACCTTGCGTCGCGAGGTGACAAGTCAGCTACAAAGTTGCTCCCAACGTGGAAACAACTCCATAAAATAAAATTGCTTTTTTATTTTTTTTCACAAGAAGATATAAATATAGTACTTACTTTGCCTAGAATACTGTCTTAGTCATAATGTAGAATAAAGGTATTGAATGCTATTTCATATTTTCGTTGGCGATTTCATACCGCGCTTTGGAATTCCTCACTGAATCCCTACAGAGTTTTTATCGATAGTNAAATTATATATACTGAATTATTCTTGCTGTTGTTCGCAACTAGTGCAAACAGATGACTCTGCTGACGTCGGGCCTTTCTGGTACAAACAAAGGTTATAGTCTTCAGTGTTCAAAATATTATCTAGTGAGTGATTCTCGTGGTTTTCACTCTTTAAGTCGACTCTCTGTCGAACGGCATGCATTGCGAGCGTTTGTTTTTGTTTTGATTCTGTCGCTGAAGAAAGCGTACGCGTCAGAAAAATCGAAACGATTTGGGGCATTTGGCGGCCACAAATTTAATTTACTGGTAGAAAAGGTATAACATATTAGCTTTAGATGCCATTTGGTTTAGAACAACTGTATTTTGAAGTTCTGACCTTGCGTCGCGAGGTGACAAGTCAGCTACAAAGTTGCTACCGACGTGGAAACAACTCCATAAAATATAATTGCTTTTTTATTTTTTTTCACAAGAAGATATAAATATTGTACCTACTTTGCCTAGAATACTGTCTTAGTCATAACGTAGAATAAAGGTATTGAATGCTATTTCATTTTTTCGTTGGCGATTTCATACCGCGCTTTGGAATTCCTCACTGAATCCCTACAGAGTTTTTATCGATAGTCAGTCACGTTCAGTTTGTTCTTTTAAAGAAAGGTTTTCTTTTTCAGAAATAAAACGCAGCAAAGAAAGTTTTTTCATAATTATAAATTTCATGACATCTTGCCAAAGCTAACCTAGAATTGCATGAATCTACATGCGACGCAATAGCTTTTTCTGAAGTTCCTGAAGGCTACCAACGCGAAGGAAAAGAAAATCAGGATCAATTCACTGTTATTTACTTCAGCAGACGGGGTATTTTTTTTGTATCCGAGTGCCATCTTAACCTTTTTGCTCTGCCGATCCTGGACGGATTTTCTCAGATAATTCTCCTGAAGAGCATCTATGGTCTAAAACCTTCCACCGGGGTCCTTCGTAAATCACATCGTACCGGTCGTTGTTTAGCTTCCCAATGCAAATACGTAACAGACAATTTACTACCAAATGTCCTCTGAAAATACTCGGCCTGTCGAAAAGAGCGATGTTGAAACTGTGGACGAAGAACGATAGCTGTTTTAAGATCAAGTTAGATCGCTCAGATTTTCACATATTGAAATAGCTACTACAAAACACTGCAAGGCTTTCGAAATTCGAGACGAGGCGCCCAATGCATACCGGTTGACGTGAGCCTTTAAAGTAGGAAAAATCCGCTGAGAAAACCTTTCTTAACACTTTAGAGTATTCCGACTCGTTAGTTTTCAGACACGTCAGTTGACTGTACATGAAGTGTTTATTCTTTTCTTTTTACAAGTTCTTCGGTCCGCCAAAGTCTGTTATGAGAAATAAAGGTAATGGCGACTCTCTACCATTAAAATTAATATATGTTGCTGCCGATTTATACTAGACGTGTTGTATAACGCTGCTATTGCCATAACCACTTCCAACCACAGTTCTCAAAGCATGTCTCTGCTAATGGAACGATCATTTCAAACAATGTGTGAGGTGTATTCAAACCCCTGCTGCCTTTACAAGTAACTCATCAGTTCTAACTATTTTCTTGACATATCGTAGTTTCTATTAAAAGTTGCAAATTACTGATCAATTTGTTCCATCTTCTGGTACAAAAAGCACTGATGTGATTATCGCTTTGCTGGATTTTTTCGCTGATTTTAAAATTTTGAGTAAGATTTTGAGCAAGAGTAAACAGAGGAGTACACTAGTAAACATCGTACAAAAGTGGCACCAATCGCTGCATGCTGTCGACCTCATATATAGCATTGCGCGCGCATGCTCTGTAGGGGACACCATCGTATTTCCATCGTTTTAGCGTTTTCGTGTGGACGGGCGAAAACGATTCTAATGCGCTACCAAATTCACAGAACAATCAAAATAATTTAGTGCACGACTTAGGAGTCTGCAAAACAAGCTTAGTGTTTAAACATTGCTTCAAAATTGGAGTCTGCTTCTCGCAATTATTAAAAACTGATCACTTTCCCCTTTTGTTTCAAACAGACAGAAGAGCAGCATTTCCAGTGTACTGTAATATGGCTGGCGGAGGTTGGCAATTTATTCTTTTTCTCGCTTGAAAATATATACTTGTTTGAATAGATTACACCATTACTTTTTTAACACCATTACTTTAATTGGGCCTGGCTGGAACTTCACTTTGAACTTGTATGACTACATCCTTAATACCCATCTTTCGATGCATGTGCACAGTTTAGACTTTGGGTCATAAATCACCTCGAGTGGTTTGTGGTCTGTAATGAGCTCAAATGGGACTGCGTAGATGCAAGGGTGGAACTTTTCGCAAACCCATACGAGTGCGAGCGCCTCACTCTCAGTTTGTGAATATCTTGTTTCTTGTATCTGTCAGACTTCGGCTTGCATAGCTGATGATCGTTGGTCCATCCTTGTGCATCTGTGTCAAAGCAGCTCTCGAGGAACTTGTGGAAAGCCCTAGTTGGTGCTAATGGTGTCATTTTCTTCCATAAGGATGAGGGATCAAACTCCTGTAGAGTTGTCTTGAATACTCTCTCTACGTTAACCAACACAGTCACATGTGCAATTCCTTTTTAATATTTTTTCCTTCATTTCTTTCACATCTGCAAAAGATTTGAAAGTCCTAGCACTGGGTGTAGCGATGCAAACACTGGAACCTTATGACCTTTTTCGGTATCACTGCTAATATATGAGAAACTCCCGCACGGTTCTGCCCTGGAATTAAAAAAATTTCTCTTTCGATCGTTAGCCCAGTGGCACTTTGGTGTGAAACACATGTGTCATATCATATAGACGGGTGATACACCGCTTATACCACGCGAACAACCATATTAATTTGCTATCTGTGAAATAATCATAAATAAAATGCATGTAGGAAAGTCAACTGAGGAAAAAAGGCGCAAAGTACGAAATAAATGAAATTAAACGGCACCCGCCTCGATTCAGAACAAGCTTGCTCTTATATGCTTTCAAAAGATGGTGAACGGCCTTGTATTTCCTTTAGAGAGCTTAAGCAATGGCGAAGGCGATCTCGAAGACAACACCTATTAGAAAACGAATTTATCTTCGAATTTCGAAATTTTCTAGATCTGTTCAGTGCGCCAATTAATCTCAGACCTTGGTCGGGCTGAATATGTAACGCCAGCGACCAATTCCAAATGAAATACGAAAAACTAGCCGCCATATTTCGCGTTCTCCAAAATACGCAGTGACAACTTAGTCATTTCACTTCAGTGCTGTTTTGCGGCAAAGAAATGTGCACAGCCATTATTCTACTTATTAAACCTTCCGTTTGCTAGCGTTGCCGCCGTGGTTTCTTTGAGTTATCTATTAAAATCATTTCTTAATTTGACTGACAACAGACAATAGAGAAGAATATTCATAGATTCGAAATAAAAAAGAAAAACGAAAATACCAAAATAAGTTTTATTAGTGCTCACCGTTTTTCTTGATGTATGCCGCAAGAGAAGCGGTTATACTTTTAGGTGCGTGTTTATCGAGGTATTATCAGTATAACTTTGACAAAACGTAACACTGAATCTGTCTTAACCTT